ACAGATCCAAGCGTTCCACGAATTTCAGTTGGTGAAATCTGCATATTTTTTTGAACATAAGACGGAATTTGATCGTAATATCAAACGCTTAGTGAAAACTTTTAAGAACAGATACCTCAGATATGTAAAGTGGGACAATAGCTGATGAAATACCAATGCCAAGGCCTGTGAGTAGGCGCCCAATTATCATAGTTTGCACACTCTGAGCAGTAGCACTGAAATTTTCGACATAGATTTAAGCATTTGCTTTCGAAAGACAATAACATTTTCATACGACGATATACGATACCGATACTGACCATAGAATTGCTCCAACTGTGAGCGGGATTGCATCCAACTGAAAGCTCCTAGTTCTGCCGAACTTGTCAGCGAACGTCCCGCCAACAAAAGATCCAATTGTGGCACCAATAAGGAGTGTACTGACTATCCATCCTATAAAAAGTTAAGCTTGAGAGTCATCGAGACGACACTAAAATACGAGCTTAGTGTAAAATTTAGTTTCCGATTCACAAGAAAGTAGCTTCCTAAGAGAATTTCACATTTCTTAACTATATTACAGTCCTTACCTTGTACAACAGTATTTTCCAAAATTCCAAGATCCTTGGAGAGGAACTCGAGCGCACCGTTTACGACCCTGAAACGAACAAACAATGAAACTGTAAATGAACAAACCGTTTACGACCCTGCAAATATGTTTAAGCCACGAAAATAGTACCCGAGGTGGTAACCGAATAATATGGCTCCTAAACAAGCAACGCCAACAAATGGTAGAACAGTTCCAGAAGATTTATTGTTAGGCTTGGCAGGAACAACATCCCCCACATCCTCATCTGCAATATAAGTTAGTGGTAAGAATGCATCTTGGCTTTAAACGTCTTTGCAAAGAATCGATGCCACACAAACAAAGCCTACCTATGACATACGAGTATCAAAAGCGACCCACAACGGAACAGCATATCAGACGATATTATAGTAATCTTATTACTTCCTAACAAAGAATCTGTTAGAAATTACGAACCTTCACAATGGTATGATATTGTTCATTTTGAGATAAGCGCTCATGGCTTTACTTTACTTTGGGCTTCCCCATAAGGCCTCGCCTCGTACCAATGGAGATGTATTCCTTACTTATAAACCCATGATCATTTACAGGACTCAACCAACATTTTCCGAAGAAATCATTATTGCAAGCAGGCCATAAAAATCGAGACAAGATTATGGAATTCCACCTTTTGAAGAACAGGTGCGTTTGATCAATGCCAAACAAAGATGTGAAGGAAGTGCACAATCACAATCATCTTATGAAGGATTGTCATAATTAAAATGGCACAAACAAAGCAACGAACATTCGTAAGCAACAACACGATCACTTCGCAACACGTAAATGGTTGACTTCTTAAAATAAAACCATGCAGAAAAGAGCATTCAGAAGTTAAGATCAATTCAAGACAAATATAATGTTCTTGAGTGTGAATTTGAAATAATTTTTGGAAGAGTGAAGAGTTTTTGGCTTATTAAATGCACTTTTCAAAGATTTCAAAGCTAGACAATAAAAATCACTTCATTAGTGTTTCGTCCAAAAGTACTTACAGAAGAAGCACTTTCACTTTAGGAAGAAGCAGTCTAAATGCACTTTAAAATGATTTTTAGTGTTATTAGAAACTTTAAAATCATGTTTGACCATGCAGCCAAACAGCATGTTTTTTATTACTTAACACCAATTAAAAAGCCATACCAAACTCACACACAATTTATAACGACCCAAGCCCACCGCTAGGTCTTTTTTGGGCTTTCCCTTTCGGGCATCCCCTAGGCAAAGGTTTCCACAGCCTTATAAAGGGTATTTCATTCTCCTCCCCCAACCGATGCGGGATCTCCTAATCCACCCCCCTTCGAGGCACATATGTGGGACCTCCTAGTCCACCCCCCTTCGAGGCACATATGTGGGACCTCCTAGTCCACCCCTTTGATCCCCAGCATCCCTGTTGGCACACCGCTTCGTGTCCACACTGCCTCATTGGAACATTGCCCGGTGTCTAGCTCTGATACAATTTGTAAAGGTCCAAGCCCACCACGGGCAGATATTGTCCTCTTTGGCGACACCCCTCAAGGTTTTTTAAAACGTGTCTGCTAGGGAGAGGTTTCCACGACCCTTAAGGGTGTTTCGTTCTCCTCCCCCAACCAATCCAACCAATCCAATGTCGGATCTCACAATTGAGATGGAAACATGTGAACACACTTCAACAAACACAATTACATGCCAAACTTGAACATCAGTGAAACAAAACAAGTTCAATAGATCATCCACAAGAAGCAGAAGCAGAAGCAGACACAGAACAAAGATCAAACGAAGATAGATATTGAATCGAGCAAGGTAGATATAGAGAGAGAGTACCATAAGCATGTGTCTTGAGTGACTTGTAATTAGCAGACGAGCGAGAAACGCCATCAAATCCAAGCCGAACACGCCTCATCTCAGTCTCCATGATTTCAGAACCAAAACTCAAACCACAGAAACCACTTCTTTCAGTCATTCGAAGCTTTCCCAATCCCAAACGCCTTCCAGATTCCCCCAAAACCCTCCGGTTTTGAAACCCAGAAGAAGAACAACAACTTACGCCACTTTTGACCAACGCCGAAGCCTGCATTCTTAACTCCACTGAGAAAATTCCACACCCCAAAAAGTCAAATCCATAAATGAAGCAATCAAACTCAAATCTAAATCAATAAACTACTCCCAAACACACAAAACCCAAATGGGTACACACAAAACCCAAATGGGTACTCACAAAACCCAAATGGGTACTCGATTCAAACCAAAAAAACAGGGAGAAATCCACATACCCGAAATGAAACCCACAAAGCAAATCGGTTGATTTCTTGCGATCAATCAATTTCTCCGATCTCTTCTTCGTTATCTCAAATGGGTTTTGTCAGTGACAGCGAAGAACTGCGTTGAAGAATCCGCAAGAGGAAAAGAGAGAGTAAAAGGGGCGCAGCGATAACAAAAACAACGAAAAAGTACACCAAACAGAGACTCGGATTGTTTACGGCTGATTCCACTTTCTTTATTAACCTTCTTCCCAATGGTATCAATCGGATTGGATTGCTCATAAACTTTAATTCGATGAAATGCATTAATTAACTTAACCTTCACATGATCCGAAAAGATGAGGATCCCGTTGTTTACTCCACAGTCGAATCGAGGCTGAGCCATCGCAACAAACTGCCGATAGAATTTTACGGATCGTGAAGAATTTAATTTCAAAGCCTAATGTATAATCTTTAATTAGTTACATGATCCAAATGCATTCAACTAAATACTTTTTAATATTAAAATAAATATATTAAATTATAAATTATTTGATTTATTAGAGTAAAATTTTAAACTTTTCATTTTGTGTCATGTCGTTCAAAATTTTAAATTTTTTTTGTCAATTTTAAAAGTTTAGTAACTAAATAGACACAAATTTTTAAATTTAAAAATTGGGTAAATGTAAAGTAAATTAAGAGATTAATTTATATTTTGATTGGTTAATTCTATTTCTATTTTTTTAAAAAAATTGCCATAAATCAAGAAAATTAATATTCAAAAAATGGAAAATGGAAATTAATATTTTTTAAAATGTTATGTCATTATTAATTTACCCAATTTAAATGGATATTATTTTTTTAATTTAAATTTTAGTTAATTTATGAAAATTTTAAAATATCTATTTTAGTCTAAAAATTTAAAGTTTATTTTTTTTTCCTTAATTTTTTTTAAATATCTATTTTAGTACTTTAATTAATTATTATTTGAATTTGAACGTATATCATTAAATTAATATTTTTTTAAAATATAAAATTAAAGTAGGAAAATAGAAATTAATTGCAAATTAAAATTGAAATTATAAAGATTTAGTTAAATGATTGGGGAATGAAGGGTCGGTAGATGGATAAATTTGGTGATGGAAGCAAATGAGACAGTTTTATCTTGTCGTGCCTCCGTGGATCCACGTCATACTTCTGACAACTCTGTTTTCAGTCCACGTGGAATTCTTTTAACCGCTTCCCAAACTTGGTAATCCCTTCTAGAAATTTACTGTAACGGTAAAAATTATTATTTTTTATTTTAGTGATAAAAATTTTGACCTAAAAAAAGACAAAAATCATAGGGCATCAGACGTCCCACATCCAATCAAACGTGGGACCCACCTCAATAAGATGAACGTTGGAGAAGTGTTGTAGAAGTGAAACCGGAAGCACTGGATCTTTCCCCCCCCCCCCCCCCCCCC